TTTTACCGTTACGTGACCGCGAGATTCTTTTGATGTACATCAAAGGATCGAGCCAGTCTTTCTGTCTCATTAACAAGGTGGCGCACACTGAGCCCTCAATGTTGCTATGACATATCCCAGGGGTGCAGAGAGCGAAAGTGAGCGTAACCCCTGGATATCGAGGATGATTCCAAGGTTGCATAAAGCGAAAATAAGTATAACCCTTCGAGAATCAAGCATGAACCCATCAATACAATAAAACAAAGCCGAGGTTAAAATTGTTTTCGTTGTGTATTTAGCCTACGGAAGACCAGGTCATTTGAACAGCCATTAACTATGGGAAAGATATGTGTGTTGTAATTAGTTACATGTACCTCACAACAAAATAACATGGTGCCATTGACAACGCAACTGATGTATTGCTTTTATTTATCAATTTGAGGTTGTAAGTTTCAACGAAGATTTGTAAATAATTTTGTACATTTGGAGAATTTTGTCAGTTTTACTACATATGCTATCTTGTTAACATTTAACTATATTCCCACGACGGTCGCTAAATTGAAGCGGGTCAAATGGTGCAATTAAGAAAAAACAGCATAAACATATTTATCTTTATGCTTTATTTTGTAATAGGGTAATGAAAAACATTTGTAGCATGTATGCATTTTTAATAAGATGACATATCCATGAAGATTATATCGAATAACTGTCATTTTAAAGCTTTATAACAAACTTTTGATCCGAAAATAGCCGTTTGATTTTTATTTTTGACCCAGAAAAATTAATAACAACTTTAAGTATAATTAAAAAGGCAATATAACACGCAAAAGGGCGAAAGTACCGACGATCGATCACGAATCAATTAAAGTGATAAATGTATCCAGCATTAATTGATCATACAATATAAAAGATAGCTAGGGATGATTGATATTAGCTTAGCCTGGTATCCAAGCATACTGTTTACCTAATATAAGGTGGTGAAGAGTACGCCTCAAATTATACGTTGAAAGCGCAGCAATCTGTGTAATTTATTCTAGATATTTAATGTTGGATTTTAGTGCACATTATTAAACTTTACAAAACACCAATGTCGCTTACGTGCAGGACATTTTAAAACACCCAGCAATGCAAGTTAAAACGATGGTTAAGTTCGTAGTGTTAAAATATGATATACTCAAACGAATGACTATATACCTAAAATGTCAGGGAATTTGGTGTCATGATCAAAACGCAGCTCGCAAAGATTTAGATTTTTACCATTTTTGCCCCTGGCATTACCGATGAGACTTAAAAAGGACGAAATCGTTGTATGCTGTATATATTACACAAGTTTATAGTTGTAATCTATAGTATGTGTGTGTCTAACATCATCTCTGTAATAGAGATTTGGAGCTACAGGGAATTTTGTGTTATGATAAAAACGCATTTGGATTTTTTTACATTTTTGCCCCTTGGCATCTTAGCATCACTGATGAGATTCAGAATGACAAAACAAGTATATGCTGTTTCTATTACACAAGTTTATAGTTGCAATCATATGTGTGAGTGTGTGTGTGAGTTTGTGTGTGTATGTGTGTATTATTCATCTCTCTAATAGAGATTTGGAGCTTCATTTATGGATAGCTGTTCTCAGAACATGAATTAGCCAAAGTAGCCCAGTAAAATATGCTGGCATTTTAATAGTTATTGTGAACCAATAAAAGATTGAATTTATTTCTACTGATGTGTAATAAAAATGTGCAAAATACACCATGAGTTGTACCATGATGTTGATTGAGTTATGGGTATGTGATGTAATTACGATCCATTTCTTTCTCTCTTACTACTTTTTCCTTACTTTTTCATTTCTCCATAGACACATGTCTTCATTTAACCTTAGCTGGTGAGAGGATATAAAATCTTGAAAATAAAAAAAAATCCGTTTCTTTATAAATGCACTGCGTGCCCATCATATCAGAATCGAAATTGCAAGGGAAAATTATGGATGTGATTGGAGGTTCGGAAAGAATAATGTACCGAAGGAAAAGTGTGAATATAAAAATATAAACTTTATTAATTTTACAACAATTATGGAACAGGTTAATTCAATTTATATTAATCGCTGTTGATAAACAATGTATAATTTGGCTATTATCGACTCTGATAGTGTCATCCCATGTAATTAAACCTATTGTTTCATTAAAAGATAAAGATTACGTCACGAATTCAGGATGCAGATTACATCTCGCACGTTACTACATATTTTTGCAACAAAGAGCTAATTCACAAGTTTAAAGATCCATGTCCCCATGTTCTACTGCAAGCAAAACACTAGAGAGTTCCACTGTAGATTTTTTGTTTATAGAGTAACCTCCCCTATATTTCTCTTAGGATATAACTGTACCGCAAATTTGCCAGGAAACTTCTGTTGACAAGGAAGCTAAGTTGGTTAGAATGACAGTATCATGATCTTCTTAGGTCAAGGGTTCGAATCCTGGCCTGCCCAATTCCTGCTTTTATACTCGGACATTGCTCTTGATATTTCTTTGTTAATTTATGATTTTTAGAATTTTTCAACAATTTTTACATTTTATTTTGTAACGATCCCGAAATGACATCTAAGCTGTAGTAACGCCGCAAATACAAGTTACCAATGCACAGCTACAGTTTTTGGCAGTAGTGTGAAGATCCTTAACTAAATCATTCGATAAAAAGAATATCAAACTCGTTCTCCTTTCACCTAACGATTTTCATTTCATAAAACTCATCATATGCACATGTATGACTAGATACATTGTATCTCCTCTTGGAACTACTGTTACATGTACGATCGTCTGAGCAAAAGCTTGGAAAATAATCGAAAGAAACGGACAGGTGCGCATTTCATCAAAGTTCGATAAAGTCAATATAGAAAATAATATTATTACTTATAAAAACGTTTTTGATTATATTAGTTTATTTATTTTGTGTATTTATTCATTTCATTATTTCAGACATTTTGAATTAACGACAAAAAAGAAAAACGTTTTTATACATTTTGCACTTGAAAAGGGTATCATTGTCAAAATAATGATGACATACTGGCGACTATTGAGGTTCGAAAGCCGAAGTTGATAGGGCAAAGATTGAGGAGAAGAAGTTGGGAAGGTACATGTAGTTTGAATATGCATTGAGAACTTTCCATATAAAAATCGTTCAGCATTTATTATTTCACAGTATTACCCAGAGATGAGATGCCATTCCAAACATCTTACAATTGTGACTACAGAAAATGCAAGAAAAAGTTTTCTTTAACATTTTGATATCGGTAACACTTAAACTTAATTATTTGTCAATTTAAAATAAAGTTTAAAAATAATTCAACTAGCCTTTTGTTGTTATTTGTTGTTTATTATTTGTTACATTTGTGAATATTTCATTGGTACAATAATACTACTAATAATAATTTGAGGTTTTCATATGCTGCATTATCACAACCTAGTTCGTAGGTCGTCTCAAAGCGGTTCACAAATTATTATCCGTGGTTGTAGGGCCTTTGCAACCAGCCAATATCTTTCTCACCTCCCTGGGGAGCATACAGCCGGAGCTGCCATTTCGGCGCTCACAGCTAGCATTCAACAATTCTAGCACTGCCCAACCACATATTCATTAACAGCTGTGTAGACTGGAACACGCAGAGTAAAGTATCTTGCTCAAAGATACAACACAGTGCAAATGTTATATTTGTGAACATTTTTGTGTATACTTTTGACTTAAGTGACGAAATAGTTTTAACATCAAAAAAAAAGTATTAATCAGAAAATCTCACACGAGTTTCCATAAGATATGACTTTCTGAAACGCGGTTCAGTTGTGTTAAAGAAATCAGAAGCAATGAGTATGTTATTAATTCGGAATTTTCAAAATAATTGGTGCAAACCCTCAACAGAACCTCGGGTCTTACCAAATTTGAAGAAAAAGAATGGATGGAATTTCCTTATCCTACACTCATGAACGATTCTTTCATTATAATGCTACATGTTCCTTTAAAAATGACAAAAGTTATTGACTATGGCCATAATTGTCGCAATGTGGATAAATGTCAAAGATATAATAAACAGCATATCATTCACTCGCATCATGAAAGGAAGTTTCCATAAGAAGGCATTTATTGGTGATTTACCAATAATTTGATACTATAATTTGCTTTGTTCAAGATTAATGTATTTTCTCAAGTTATGGAATTTTTTCCTATGTAAACATGGCATTTAAATCCGAGGTAGTCTATCGAAACTGATAAAGCCATCAAGTTATATAAGAAGTTCAAAATAGAACATTTATTGGAGAATAATGTAATTTAAAGATCTTATATGTATAAACGGAAAGTTCACTAGTCTTCCATTGGGAGATTGCTATCTTATGAATCCGAGCTTATGTTTCCCTTGAGGACTTAACTTTATTTTATTTTGTCTTGATGTTAAACTAGTGTGTGTGACTCTGGTATATGGAATTATATAATGTAAACGACTGTTTAACTCCTTATTGAATAGTATAGTGTCAGTTCCATAAAGTACGTTTCCTTACGTGGACATGCGCCAACACGTCCCGGTAAACAGCCTGCCTACTTCTTTACAATGCGTTTGATATGTAGCACACTGTAGACTGAACAAAGGTGTGAAAACATAAAATAACCTAGTTAGCCATGCTATGTTTATATAAATTGACGCCAGAATAACATTTCTTGCCTGAAAAAGAGCGACAATTTACTTAAACTCTCTTGTGTATATAATGTGAATCGGGATTGTGACGTCACCCTTTCCCCACCCTCTCCCCATTAACCCGAGTTTCCGTCGCCGTAGCGAAATTAGTATTGACATTAAGTGAACGCTCCGGATCGAAATTGTATTTCGGAAATCGTAAATTTTGCCGGAACATTTCCCCGCTCGCTTATACATTCTTGCCCTATGAAGCAGAATCATTCAGGGTTATAGTTTTCCAGTCAAAGGGCTCAATGAGGCCATATATAAGTCACCTCGCATCTCTGGTTCCAACTGGAGTGTGAACAGACGCTCAAAGAGGGAGACCTAAGAACGAGCAACCCCCGACTTTGGATTTTACTACAGTTCCTCTCCAGACAGATCCAGCTAAACACCAAAATGGTTTCTAAGGTAACGCATTATTATTTTGATTGACAAGCTGGCCTTGTTTTATTTTAGTTTTATTTTCTTACTTATTGAATTTCTTAAACATTTATTTTGCTGATTTAATTTTATTAACACTTACGATTTAGGACATACGTTTACCCCTTCCCATTTTACATGTAATGATATATATTTGTAACAGCCAAAATCGACAAAGGTGAATTTATTTCAGACATTATATTCAATATAAACATAGCTAAACTTTTAGATAATGTACTAATCAGTTTTTGATTAATATTTTAACATTGTTAATCTATTGTTGACATTTACCGCTGTCGATCTTGTAGCTACATTTGACACTTAGCTGAGTATGTATGACACTTGTGGTGTCACATTGACGCCCTTTATGTGTGGTGTATGAGACGTCAAACTACATCGCAGCTAACATATTTAAATATACTAATCAATATTAGCAGTCATGAATATGAGCACATTATTATATTACCACGTATTTACTATAGCTCCACAATTACGTGTAGGTTTGCGACGTAACGCTAATACTGTAAGTTCACGTTATTAATTATTTAGCTATAACGCCTTGTTTACAGTCGATATAATCGTACTTAAAAATATAGTTAAAAGTAATTAAACAACCCAAATCTTACTATCATATATATATATATATATATATATATCAAATCTTATAACAAGCCATTTTTGTTATATTTGGCACAATAATCAGCATAAATCATATTCAGGATGCGTTTCAATGGTTTATACAATATTATGTAGGTTAAGATAATACAGCGAGTACCTCGTTTAATGTCAATAGATGTATTACTTTCTTCCATAATCTGTTAGATTTGGATAGACGATGCATTGTTTAAAAAAAATAACAATACTAATTAAGGCAAACATCTCTTCATTTCACACGTATTTTATATCTTATAACAAAGTAACAAACTTTTACTTGTTTGTTTCAATAACACAAGTTTAAACTTTTTTTAACGTCCGAACCAGTTATAACGATAATAAAAATAATTTGCCCACTATATTCATCATCTCAACATTTTGCAAATATAGTTACAAAGACGGATTTAATAATCTTTTTATTTTCAAAATGAATTACAACGGGACTTATAAAAAGCGGAAAACAGTCGATGAAAACTAAGTTAAGCGATATATCCTTTTTCTTAGATTAGTACCTACTCGTAGTAAATTCATGCTCGAAGACATATCTCACGTTATTTGAAAAAAAATAATCACGTTCAAGATAATTTCACAATTTCGAATATCATCACCGCTAATGGAATTTTCTTGTAGAATCCAATCTTAAACAGTGCAACTATCTAATCAGAATATGTAAGTGCTATATAGGCCTAACCGGTACCATTGTACTGTATAGAAAACGTGTTGACCGCCTTTAAATGTTCTTCATCTATAGTTGTAAGTATGACGTCATCTTAATTTGATTTTTAATGATGACATTTAAATAATATCATTATATAATAATATATCCCAATTTTTGATATCTAAAATGTCCAAACGGTTCAAAATTGGAGGGAAATGTTTGCTATAAGAATGAACCTTTATGGGGCGACTGTAGTTGACTTATTTCACGATTAACGTTTTGTCCTTTTGTGTTTTCGTTGAGTTATTTTGTCTTTTTTCTTTACTTTGAATATACTTCTTAATTTTAAGTCGATTTTGAGTTTGTTTTGTCATTTTTGATGACGGCGAGTTTCGTTTTGTTCTTGTATTTTCACTTTCATTTCTTATTTACAGTTGAGTTTATATTATTTTGTATTTGCAGCTGAAGTGTTATTTAGTATTTTACTTTCGAAAAGTTTATCATTCTGATGATGATAAGTAGGTGTTGGTGTTGACCAAGGCCCCAACCCAACATCACATCTATCGACGTAGACTTATTCATCTTTCTCTTTTATCATTGCTGTTAGACGTATTTTCCTGGATTCACATAAGACATCATAACCGATGCCTTAAGTCCTGCTGATTTGATTTAAACATATTTTATTGCAAATAACAGATGTTGCAAACGAATTGGACACAAGTTTTGCCAACTTCTGGAAGTCCTCTTCGACAAAAATTAATTGATTACAATACATATCACGCAATGTTAGAGCTACTTAAATATACATATGACAAGAAAAAATTGTAGGTAAGAGAGGGGACAAAGAAGAGATCGAGATATCTTTCGAAAATAAAAAAAATAAAATTGGACACAGTTAACTTACGTTTTATTGCATAGTATAATTAGTTTTCATCTAGATTGTAAGCCATGTGAGAATTCATTTTCCACGTAGATGGAGCTCACCTTCAGCTTGTCTATTGTCCATTACATCCCGTACCTTGGAGTACCTTTAAGTCCTGCTAGCATCAGTCACTCCTCCGGGTGGTTTTGTTTCGCAGCCATTGTTTTATTAATCTTCATGATAGTTTCTTCCAACTTCCGTTTTGTTCCTTGGTTTTTTGGTCATACTTTATCATCACTGAAAATGAAGGTTAATTGTGTCCTCCCATGTCTATACGGTTGCTTACAATGGTTTCCTACTTACCCTAACACCAGTAACACGGTTTAATTTCCTGTGAAATTGCCTGTCAACATTGCGTAGTATTTGCTGTATAATAATTTCAGTAACCGTGATTAAAACTAGCTAATTTTAGAATGATTACCATCGATATTAGGTATTTGAAAACCATAGAGAATAGCATTTCGTCTGAAATTAGATTAATTACGACTACAAAATGTCACATTCCTCGGAATCGAATTTATAATTTCTAGTCACCGTACCAACGAACATTCACCTCATATACATTGAAACCGCAAGTCATTGTATGAGCACTTACTGAAATATATTATGATTAAGAGGTAAACAATCGTTTTAAGAAATAAAAAATAAAAATAAAAATAAAAAAAATAATAATAACTTATGCACATTTATATAAAATGTCAAAAAATAAAATAGAAAAGTGGCAACAAAACAATTATTATTACTCTAAATAAATTCAACTTTTCTCCCACATGATTTCCAATGTATTTGTATGCACCTAGCATCATCAATGAGACTTTGAATGACGAAATAGCGGTATCGTGCAGCGTAATTCAGTTTTGGTACGTTGCATCTGTTACCACATTAGCAGGTGCAATCATCTGTATGTGATACAAGGTGATAGACTCTACCGGTGGAATTCGTTGTTCCTGAGGTTTACCGTAACCTTAATAGCCCGAGTAATCACTTTCAATTAGGGGCAATGTTCATACCATGTAAATTTTATCCAGTATTTAAATGGAAATTGAACAGGTTTAAATTCTTAAATTTTGAAATTAAGAATAGGTTTTCCGCACCTCCCATTCTATTTCAACAGTAATTATCAACATTTGGACTTCCAGCACTTTTGGCTCCTATCATCACTGATGAGGCATAAAAGGCCGAAATAGCTGTATGGCGCAGTGTAGTTTTTGTAATCTGGTAAACTGTATATATTACCAATATTTTAAAGGAGAAATCACCTGTTTTGAGTGAATCTTGTACTAACCCAAATGTGTTAATTGCTTGTGTTAATATTTGCTTTTTTATACCAGATTGATCATGTGTTCAGACCACAGTCTCACACACGAAAGCTCTAAATTCAATGATCGATAGACCAAAGTGTGTCTTGAAAATTAGTTTATATTTTTCTCAAAAAACATATTTTCACAGTAAGTATTTGTGCTAACCAAAAAACATGCTAATTGTATATAGATGAACAATCTAGCATTGGTCAAGTCTAAATTAACAAAAGATAACGACAACCAATAGCACTTAACGTTGTATGACTTTCATCTACCAGGGAAAGCGATAGTACGCACTTACCTGTCCCGGGACATGTCCTCGTGCGACGAAGAAAACAACGTATTGATTTCCATTACATGGATGATTAAATGGTCTAACTGTTATTTCAATCTTCCACAAGAATGACTGATGACAATCTCCCATCCTACTCAATACAGTCACATTGTGCAATGTTATACAGGGGTAATGTGGCAGTTCTTTTCTGTCTATACCTTCACATTCATGTATTTATTGATTTTTATTGTGTCAATCACCTTGTTTTTGAGTTGGACGTTCTATTTTAGCCGAACGCCTGGTACATGTACTTGCAAGTGCTACTTAGAATACTAAAAGTGCTGATTTCACTGTTGTTTAGAAAACCGCTGGGACTTCACATTTCTAACGCCATGATTGATGTGTTTGAAGGTGCTTGATATTTTTATTTATATGAATTGTAGGAAAGTAACGAATTTGCATGTTAGAATCTTAGTTTTAAGTGATTACTTTGTGTAGTTAGACCGAGTCGAATCGTCAATGACATATGTTCCCTGTCAGTTTCCTGTCGGTGCCTTTAGGTCCCTTTTAATTCCCTTAGTTCAGTACGGTTGTGTTCGTATTAATTAACAGCGCACAGAGAGGCAAAGTAGAACCTATGAACCTTGTATTTGAATCTGACCCGTCCTAAATAATGAATAGATTCTTTCTGGCACTGGAAAGCAAAATACAACCAAAGTGATGGGATTAGGACGTGGATCAAAATGCGTATAAAATGCAATATACATATTGTTATTTCTGATAGTATGCTTTTAAGTCATGTTAATGTATAACAACAATGACAATATATAGATAATGCGTAAATATATCGCAAATCAACGGAAATGACATTTTTTTTAAAGAAATTTGTTTACAAACTGGAAATGTATGTATTGCATAATTCCTAAGGAGAAATACAGAAATAGATAAATATATAGCGTATTTCGGACAGATGAAATAGACATCGTTCTCTTAAAATGTCGTTTATTTTTAGTTGAACCTGACCGTCAAACCAAATAATACGAAATTGATTTCTTTAACCAGTTATTCTGTCTTTGCGTATTGCAGAGTTATCTTCTCTTGGGAGCAGGTATTGATTGTTTCGTCATTGGTCTGTGTGAGAAAATTACGTCGTTTTCACAAAAAATTGATGACGTTACT